AGAAAGGGTTATGATGCTCGCAGGGAATGATGGACCTCATAAAATATTGTTAATCTACATGGAAATTATTGGTAGCTTTAAAAATATTGTCGTTCTATTGTAGCGAGAATTGACACCTACTTGTTAATACAATAACTAAATCGTGATTAAAATGTTTTGGATCAGTGGCTCCCGCAAAACGCAACTATCAGAAACGCCACATCAAGAAACATTGATAAWGAATTCATTTCAAGTCTCAGGAATYAYAACTTAACTCGACGCAATTCGTTTGAGTTGGACTATTGTCTTCACATCTTCTTAGTTAAGATTGYCTTTGTCATTTTCAATTATTCGTTGAGTAAACTAGACAACGACAAACTGTCAGCATGACAAGATCATAGCTATCTTGTTTTTTAACGTTTACTCAAATACTTGAAAACACACCTTTCATTCRTACTTTGACGAGRTTAAGTCACAATTATTGATAGRAAGTGAGTACGAGTAACATGAAAATGAACAACTCGTTTAATTTAGAAACTCGTCGGTCTCTTTKACRCAAGGCCAAGGTGTCAAGCTTGATTAAAAATGAAATGAATCACTAGTGTTATTTTAGCCAARAAAAGGTCATTATATTTTTGAAAAGAGTCTTAGAACTAGTTATAAATAGCTCAGTTTTTTTAGTTAACCGATTATATTTTGTCTATTAAAAWAGTTTTTGACAACTGGAAAACAATTGTCAATTAACAATTACTCAGGACTTGCAAAACACAAAGACAAAGTTTTAATAATTTTTAATTAATTCTCAAATAAACACTGAAAAAAATCAGTCTTTTTTTCAGTAAATCTCTTAATGCATTAAGCATTGATAATAATAATTACATTTATTAAAGATTATGGCTCTGTAGTAACCGAGAGGGCAAGCAAGTACTGCTATAGTAAGTACTGCTATTAAATAACAAATCGACTTTTTTTCTCTTAAAAATTTATGCTTGCCCGTAGTTCTTCTTAAATAACATTAACGTATATTACAATTCTATTTACAATAATCAACAATCGCAGGATTATATTTTCTTGTCAATGAATTATGTGAAGAAACCACTTTCAAAATGGATATCACTTTTGCAATGCGGTACTAAAAAGAAATATTTGTAAAGAGAATCTTATGAATAAAATAGAAAATATACAGATAGAAATGTGATAAAACAATGACTACACGTTTTCAGCAAAATCCACAAAGTTTGAMCGTGTTTTCTTGAAACGAATGGCGGACATATGAAAATAAAATTCAAATCGTTAGAAAAGCAAAACCTGTAAAATTCTAGCATTTTTTTTGCATTTTTTATGGTATGGATAGTTTTGAAGAYCGAGCGGCCATTCTTTATGTTCAATAAGTATATATTTGACGAACTGTCCAATATAAAAGAACTATGTTGACCCGGCAGGTTACTATGGCTGCGATATGGTAGTACTCCAGGCCGAATGAAGACTTAATCCTCCATTTTGATGATGTTTTGTCTTGTCACTGTCTCTTCTGTGATTTTCTGAATCATGATGAGCCGCTCTTAGATTGTTTATATATGGACTATTACTTAGAGACGAGGCTAAGGCTGACGGCGAATGGTGCCCTACTGTCATGGATGGGATTGTGAGGCTTTCTATGCTTGTTGTTCCCGGAAACAGTATTGAATTGGAGTCTTGYGCGTAGTAAGGTTGAGCAAGAGCTGTATCAATAAATAGAGATGGTTAATAATGTAAACTTTTATATTGATAATTCTACATAGGTAGAATATGTTACCGTGGTAACCCTTAGAGTATCATCGCTTTCTAGTCCTTTTAACTTTGGCTTCAACGAAACGATATGTCTTACTGAACTCAATACGGCTTCTCTCTGTCATTTCGATCCATTCAGTATTGATTGAAAGCAAATGCGTTTTACCAGTATTTCATTAAGAAGGACTCAGTCTTATCGAAAATTTGTCAAAGATGTTAGAAAACTTGGACTTAAAACAAAGCAAAGTTCACGGTTTGTTCAGGCATTTAATATATACTCTACAACGACATAAGAGGATAACATCAATGTTTGAAGGGCTCACTAGTAATCGTTCTAAATATGAACACAAATTTCCTAAAGTAAACTTTAAAGACATTGGTTACTTTGCTTACAATTTGAGGGTTTTTGCAAAGCAGCTGTTTAAACTACATTTCTGATCAATAATAACTAAAGCCGACTTCTATCAACTAGTTGGAATAAACTTGAAAATGAAAATGACATAAGAGAAGTAGTAATAATAACTGAGATTTCAAATAAAGATATTAAAAAAGGATTTMAAAGTGAAATAAGGCAGCRTGAATAGCATTRAGGAGTTCTGAGCTCTCCAYTGAAGTCAAAATCAATTTCACTAAGAGTTTTATTGGGTGCTAGGGTCCTTGACGGACCAATGGCAAATCATTGTCACATTGGCGTTGGATTCTAAAAAAGAGAATTTGAAGTGCTAACACAGTAGCTTTAGGCCGTCATTTCACTTCGTTTATATGTGATATTCAAGATGCCAGAAACATTTTCAAGGGCGGCACTTGAGATTAATTCWTTTTTTCAGCAAAATTTGACTACAGTATCAAGTAATATAGCTTTAAAACCAAATACATGTCAAAACTGTCAAAAATAGTTATTATAACGATCTAAGCCAACAACAAGTCTAATGTATGAGTTGAACAAGAAAAAAAATTACTACGTACCGGTCGGTGAGAGATCCGCGCGCTTGTAATATGGGTTTGGATAGGGTGTAGGGCGGTGACTACGGATACCTATCGGACTAATTCCTCTGTACGGTGAAGCTGAAATATGTGGATATGARGACGGATGATGATGATGAGGATAAACTGGTGGAGGAGGACCAGAACAGAACCAACCATCTACAAAAAAACGTCAAATTGTTCATGTTTTTTKGACTTAATTCGAAAATAAACACACAGATTTGGACGATCAAAGGACGCCGACTTTTTTATAATTTTCTAACGAAGCCGTCTTGGGACTTTTATTAATCATGTGTTCTAATTCTAAGGACTTTTGATTTTCAAACAAGAACATTGTCATCAAATACGGCAATTTTATTCAATCAAGATAAAAAAACCGCAAGGACAATGTTGACTCAAAGGTGTGGGTTATCGCTTTGCTTCTAGTGTCCGTCTTTTTTCATTTTGATATAATCATTTAGCCATGATTTAGCTTTTAATATTGAAGACAAACACCGTCTGTAATTGTAAAGAACGATTCTAGTTTCAAAATCTTCAGTSATCGACTACGTGGCCAAATACCAATGGAACCTGTCGTTGTATAAATCTTTTAAGCAACTGAKATAGAAAAGGCGAAGGCAATCCGTTTTATTAGAATTTTTACTAGAATAGGAAAAGGTCTTTACAAACTAGCTAACAACGTACACGAGAAAGTTCAACAACATGTTAAGACGATCAAACTTTGTCAAGACGATATTTTTACACTTTACAGGGAAGCAATTCACAATTATCTTATAAAACAACAAACAATTTAGTGAGAAAAAAACGCAGTTAACTTACATTGCGAATAACCTGAATGCGATTCCGCTTGTTCATATGCRTCTTTCTGTTCTTGTCTACGATAAGAAATGTAAGTCAATTGAAGTAATTTTCCGAGTTAAAGAAATTTTCATTGGTACCTTTCTTTGGCGTCCAGGAAGGCCTTCGCAAAAGGATTATACTTAATCTTCAAGCCTGTAATCTGAGAAGTGTACAACACACAATTCGATTARTATTGSTTTTCTTTCTCGCGCAATATAACCACATTTTCAAGTGTAATTCACACCAAGAAGAAATTAAGAGCACCTCTTCATTCTGATAGGCAGTAACGGCAATAAACTGAGTTTCTGGAAAAGAGTGGGAGACGATCGTGCGATTGTTGTCCGAAGCACCAACTTTAATGATGTGAATCCTTGGCTCGTACTTGTGTAGAGAATTTAACATGATCTGCTGTTGAAGAAAAAATACACTAGTCTAAACAATGCTACTGGACCGTCAAAGGCGAAGAGTTGTTTATGTAATCTATGACGGTTTTATTTGGTTCTAGTTATTTTGAAGTATGACTGGTAACTGGTAAAGATGGTAGCTTTATATTCTATGATTGATATGATTARTGTAATTCTAGGTTTATGTTTGTAATCGATATCATTAAAAGTGTAGCAAATATCTCTTATTCTTTAGAAATYCAGTTGATTACATGAATAATCTTGTTATGTTCTTACTTGTCCTGATGTGTTTTGCTTGTTGGTAAGCTTCACTTTGGAAAAACCAATGGGTTGTTTCATCCAGTGCGCACCGAAGTTTGGCGAATCAGGGTGAATATAAACGCAACTAGGAGCAGGAGGCTCTGGTTTTCCTCCTGATACCCATTCGCCATTCACGTACTTCCATCGATTGCCTCCAACACAAACAAAGTCCAGTAAAAAGGAGTACATGGCCTTTGGCTCTAGTCCTGTTACATTGACCTTTAGGACGGGAAACATACGTCTGGAATAGCAAAGGTTATAATGTCAAAACAGTCATTAATTACAGCAAAATAGAAAATTGTAATAGTAGATCTACTAAATAGATAAAATAAGTATGTTACCTCCCATTCTTAGTGACGATCATTTCATTTGTTAGAGACTTAAACCGGCGCCATAAATCTGCTTCTTCTAAAACCACTTTAACTTGACCTTCATCCGTTGYGTTCTTACTATCAGTGYCTTTATCATTCTCCGCCATCGAGTTTTCTGCGGCTTGAAGGATATGGTTGACGCTAAACGATGTATGTTTCTTTTCGTCCGAGTGCATGGCAAGTGGTTGGTGGAGTGTTGGAGCGCGTTTTAAGTGGTGTTTAGAGCTATGGATACTAATAAACTATTACTGAGCCAGATGACTCGACAAAATGAAATTATACCGTCCCACGATTCACCGAACGCTCTAATTAGTCGTCAATGAATAAAAGTCACACCTTATTCCCACATGTCAAAAAAGTAATTAACTATAGATATTTAAATCCTAGACCAACAGCCAATCACCTTACGCTGCTGACCGAATTTAATCGAACGACACAGGTAGCAAAATTTAGCAATAAACACTAGAAAAATAACCTTGACTTATGTACACAGGCGCGAGCCAATCAAACAGACCGACAGGACGAACTTCTTTACATAGTGAATATCAACGGTGATTGAACCTCTCACAAAGTCAAATATATCCCGTAGGGTGAGAAATAATAAGATGACAAATGTGACACACTTTTACCGATATGCTTAACCCTAGGGTCAAATCATTTAGSTGSTACACCAATAAATGACAAGATTACTTTTGGGGCCTGCGTAAGACGTTCGAAGCCGCCGTAAAGCGCGCTCTCCTTTGGTTYTATTGTTCCTTTTGTAGTAATTCGGTGATTTGAAAACACATCATCGCTCACACCAATAATCTTAATTAATGAAAATCTCTGAAGTACTGATATTGGTCTAAGCAACATTCTAACGCTGTTTTAGTATATACGTGTTATTCATCATACAGACGCATTTTTTATCGTTCCTTTCAGGGCCGACCGCACAAGTAAAGTGTGAATTTGCAAAATGACCTGTGTGAAGATTATAGATGGTCTGCGAATCTTCGCTTGACCTCTCTGTACTCGTAGAGAGATTCTAATTTTGTTTGTTTGAAGTTGGGTCTCAAAATGACGCGGCGTTGAGTTGCCCTGGATTCGAATGCAATCACAGGCAGGCCGCTTAATCATTCCTGGCAAACCTGTGAACCAAAAAGCGCCGACATAGAATAACAATTGCGTTTCCAAACCAATTGTCGGCTTGTAAAGGGACACCGCAAATCAACAGTCACTCTGCACAATAATCCACTTATTCCGATCGCGCTGGGTTTTGTTGATGGTAATTTGAACACAATGAGTGCGTAAGGTTTGGATTGGACAAAAGGGAGATTTAGCGCGCTATTCACTTTCTATGAGCGGTTTCCCGACCAGGGATTGTACTATTGTAACTTGCCGCCTCAAAGAAACCGGCTTATTGTTGGTCCTGCGATTGCCATACGCCTCCAAAACATTCAGTATACCAACTTCTCAATCCAGGAACACCTAAAAACTGGTTAACTGATTTAACCGATTGTCCAAATAAACCATAAGGATTGAAATAACAGCGTTTTTGTTAAAATTGTAATGAAGAGGTTTTATGCGTTTTTAATGGTAATCCCTGCTTGCGGTGGTCGAGATATAAATCTTTAGAGAATGATAGTAAAGATTAGAAATATGTTGTGATATGCTCTGAACCAGAAAGCTTCCAAAAATAGTTTGCTGTTTTGCGTGATAGTATTTTCGTGTAGGATATGAGAATAAAGTAGAGCTAGTATTAGATGTGAGAAGGCAAAGGTTTCACCGAAGCAAAAAAGATTACCAAAACGTATCAAGAAACGGGTGGTTGCAAAATGGGACGTTGTCCTCGAAGATTTGTCTCGTTGAGCTAGTCACTCATGTCTCGATTAAATCATGTTTGTTTTGCCGTACTTTGGTAATMAAGACATATTCACTTTATCATTTCCAGTGAATACAAACATAGGGTCTCATCTTGAGATTGTGATCACTTCATTTGATGCATTTATGACAAATTGATTTTTCATTTGGTTTCATATGGACGCTACAATATTCTTATCAACGTCCTGTATTTTCTTCTCTTAGATTGTGMAAAGCTTAAATGATGTACGAATTCTTGACACAGTAAAGCAAACTTCATTTAAGCATCAAATCTCTCGGATACATAGAATGTACACAGACCTTCAAACAGCATCAATCATTCGCTGTACAGAAACATTACTGTTGAAACTCAATTAATTATGCTASTACGTGTATTTTCGCATTTTTGTAAACGTCCAATCTTATCTAATAKAGTGCTAATTTACTAAACCGCAACTTCGTGGTATCCTAGGAAAATTGAAGGAAACCAACCCATACCAACAAGAACTAATATAAACATGAGTTACTGGAATGTTTGGCCATTTGTTTGCTCAAGTTTAATTTAAAGTTGGTTTATTACTACCTTCTCACTATTCTGTCAGATCCTGCAAGCATTCCAGATCGGAAACCTCTCTAGATTAAATCTTTTCAATATAAGAATTAATAAAAGTAATGAGTGYTTCRTGGGTTATGAGTGGTTGCACTTTCATCATGGCCAAGTACACCGGCTAGCTCACAAGTTTAAAGTATTTGACAAGAGCTGCCAACAATGTGCAAGTCAACAGTTACTGTTTGGGGAACTTGTTTTGTAGTTTCAAACAATAAATTAGCAGTAAATTGTTGCCTTGAATGAGAAAACACTACAGYCTGACAGCGTAAAATACCAAAGAGACTTATCCTACMAAGCRCTAGTCTAACTCCAGTTAAAACTATTGATTTAATTCCACTTAAGAGTACCCGCGATTTATTTCTTAACATCAATCGCTAACCGAAATGACGCATTCCTTTTGCTTTCAGTTTATGTAAACATGCACCAAGCCGCCTTTACTCGTACTTTCTCCAACATTACAAAACTTATAAACATGACAAAAATCTACGTTATTTTCTTGTTTGTTAGCAAGATTCTTTAATATTTACAGCCTGACTTTTAATATTATTCATTGACAATGCTAGATAATAGAGTTCATTATTATATAAGGTAAAATACACCCAAGTGTAATAACCACCTTCGATTTTCAAAACCAAACCAATTTCCTGGTCCCTTAAATGTGCCGAAGTCATATTCATGCCGTTCTGTACTTCCCCTTCACTGTAGAAATGAATACAGATGTCTTGGAAAGCCTTTTTGTACTTAAGATAATGACCGGAAGTATGACAAGATGAACACTTAATGAACCACAGCAAGGAGTCTTACAATTCCTGGAATATCGCATAAGAACTTTGATTGAGCTTTGTGAGTCTTGTTATTCATTATCTAATTAAAAGTATGGAACTACTTTATATAAAAAATGTATGATATTGCTGAGAAAATGTTTGGAATAGGAAAATAGTTTCTATATCTATTTAAGTRCGCAAAACCTCTTTTCACTTGACTTAGAAAAAGATGTAAATCAGAGATGTTGTTCATTTCGACGTCAAACCATATAAACACCTGGATTATCCTTTTTTCAAAGAAAAATAAAAAGTGAATTTGATCATACGCTGAAGCAACTAAACCTTTTTTGAACATAATATTTTTTTTCTAGTGTAATAGTTTTGAAGAAAATATGCAGTTCAATTATTACTAACTCAATAGCTTCGATAAAATTGAAATTATGAATGTAGAATTCTTGATATCTGTATACCACCAGTTCAATAGTTTTCTTATCGCTAACATATAAAAGAGTTTTTCGAGTATTCATGTGATTTGATGTCCACTACGACACACTAGATGTTAACTGTGCAATGATAAAAACCCGTGTGGCTTGACGATTTTGTATCTTTGTTATTACATAAGAGCGAAAGTAACATGCATGTCTTAACAGGTTTTTTCGAATTCTATACAACTTTGCCATGTATATAACCAGTATAGCTAAGTATTTTTTGCCATTTTATGCGAAGCTAGTTCATGGTGATCTACCAACTGTAAAACACAAAGCTAAAACTAAGCAAAACTCRCACGATTAATTCGTTTTTGTGTCCAGGAAGACTGATATCTTTTCAAGGATAGTTTGGTGAGTATTTTAACTAAGCAAATTCAATTTCTTTGAGCTAGAAGCCAAGTTATATTAAGATAAAAAAGCCTTTGAAAGACAGGCTACAGTCGTAAGAACAATGTTATAATACTGATGATTGTGTCACAGGCGTCTTGGAACTAGGACATGAACACATACTAGATCTGCGATCCTTTTTTTATTGTTTTTTTTTTTCTAATATATCATATATTTCTTCATAATCAGTAAAGAGCTGGGAAATGCTATCTTACTTAAAATATTTTATTGATTCATAGCTAGTATCGCCGCCACACTATCTCATTGTCGATCCTGATGATATCTTAGTGCTACATTAGTATGGCCATAGAGCTGTTTATATCATAACATCTGTATCACTGAGGATGATAAAACTCGGTAAGACTCCAGTTTCAACCTTCGCTTGTATTATCAAGAACAAAAAAATGTTCAGGTTTCACGTTAAATGAAAATTACTTCAAATAATGGTGTTTTTATTGAACCAACCGAGCAGTTTGTTATAAGCACCATTGATGTCGTTTTATCGTTTCATATCAAAGAGATCACTTTAACGTGACACATTAAAAAAGTTTTATCCAAAGATTGCATATTAAAAATGTCCTGTCGAAATTATTCTGTTCCATTTTCTTAAAACAAAGAAAACTAAGTGTCCCGACACTATTCTATCGGTGTTTTTGCTTTGTTGGCGGTGTGAGCAATAAAACTAGCAAACAAGCTGTTTTTTCAACGGACTTCTGGTCTAATCTGAACCTGTTACACACATTTCCTTAACTGAAAATGTTTGATGCTTTATTATCGCAGRATTACAGTACATACGAAGCGTTCTTTAAGAGTACGAGACAACATAATTTTTTTCATTGATTTTAATTCYTTATATTACAAGGTTTTCTAGTAAAATAGCAATTTGAACTGGATCGTTTTCTACACAGGGCCAACATATAGCAAGTTTTAGTTACATATGATTATTGCTCGTTAATGTCTGTCTCAATATTTACATGAGCAAAGGATGTTCAAATAAAGACAGTAGATCTAGTTAAGATGGCACACTGTTGGCGGCTGTAAGACAGCACTATTGATAAAAAGATTTATTTGAATTTTCAAATGTCGGAACGTTTTAACCTATACAATATCCTGACTTGTATTTCTTATTTTAGTTCCAATAACTGATCTCAAAACATTTATTATAAAGAAATATTTGTAAAAAAAGTGAATGTGAAAGCTTTAAGCTGTAGCACTAATAGGTGGACATCATATGCCCTACAAGTGATACAGGCGGTTTTGTTTTCCTTTTATTAACAATAAAAATAAWAGATTTTCTTTATTTGATTAAACAGACATGATGGCTGACTGATGTTATTTCATCTTCAATAGTTATATTTGACAAGAATCGAGCCAACTCAGTGAAATATTGAAATGGTACTCTTTGTTTGACTGCTAATAATATTGTGAGTGTAGTGTCGTAGGGTCTTTTTCTGACAGTTTTGTCTTAGTTAATCATGTTTTCCGAAAACAAGATCATCAATTGTTTCTTAACTTCTAAAATTGAAACTGCTAAGCTTTCTTATGGAATCTTTTATTAAGGGACAAAGCCGACARCATAGATGCTTGATGAACGCATGGCGCCTTTGAAAAGTGCTTTTTTCACACAGGCTCAAGTTATAATTGATCTATTTTAGAAATCACTCCAAAATTAACAGAACCATATGTTACTGAAGAAAGCTAAAAATCCGTTCATAATAAGAAAGGTATATCGGTTATACCATACAATAAAAAGTAGTTTTATATCAGTTATATATATCCTTTCCAGCTGTGTTTTTCTAAGGGATATCCAACCTGTTCCTCTATAAATAAACCGGTCAAAGTACTGTAACTTGCTAGGCAACCTTTAATATTTTATTACGTTTGTTTGATCTCTTTTAACAGTAATAGTTGTATTAATAGACCATGTTATGGTACAAAATTGAATTGTGAACACTTGATGGGCGGTAGTGGACAATTATTTGTTATTAAAATAACTCATATCTTGAACTTAAGCTTGTACTTGAAGATAAGAACTAGTCGTCTTCTTAGAACCGTAATCACTTTAACTTTAGCTAACTAGAAATACCAAATACGTCTCTCAATAGAGCTTGAAAGCAACATAATTATAGAGTTTTACCTTTAGCACTAAGTTCGTACCCTGCCTAAGATTCTGTGTATTTGAAAGTTAATTGTACTGATGTTACAAGGATAATAGGTTAACGCCCATGACAGCAATTTCAAGTCTCGCTTATCCTCCTTACAACAACAATATGTCCATGTAAAATGTATTTTCCACAAAGAAAAATCATTATCTACATGGAGATGGCACACGAAAATAAAGAGAAAGAGCTGGTATTTTAATATTAACGGACATGTACCGGGCTGAATTAAGATTAGAACTCAATCGACATTGAATGTTTATTCATAAAACCCAACGCATATATGTCTAATTCAGTGACTTGCTGTCGTGATTTCCATGTGAAAAATCCTTTTGAGAGTTTCACTCCAGTCGGTAAAATCTTAAAACAGAAAGCTAATAGTGAGTTTATCGACCTACTGGTATCCATGGTAATTTTCTATAGCTCTTAAGAGTGCCGCTTGCTATAATAATTATAAGATTCTGTATTATGAAATGTGTCCGTTGGCAAAGAAGTAATATTTGTATCATCACTCTTTAAACACCTTGAAGAGTGAAAGAAAGATTGTCCACGGGCAATCGCCTGAAAATGTCGAACATGCTGAGATCTTCTCGTCCTGAATAGAGTCGACCACTAATGTGTTTAAATTCGGGACGATTGTAAGCCAAGGAAGTTATGATAACTCGATAAATGAAGTGTTCTTGCTCTTCTTGTACATTAGTCAATCTTGTTTGCTTATAGCTAGTATGGTTTGTTATCATAATATTTACTGTGAATCAGTGCACTAAGCTAGACAGTTTCAGTTTGATATCTTAATGCCCAAAAACTGAAATTCTAATGATCTTTGAAAAAAAGGCTTGTTATGATCTGAAGCTCTCGAGATTGATTTCATACCATTAAGATAAACGTATCAACCAGTATCTCTCTGTACATGATACTTAAAGCAATAAAAGAAATCATCCCTGACTCGTTATCTTTCTAAAACACCCGACTAGATAAAAACATACTTAAAATCASTGATGAACGATAATGGTGGAACACTTATTCAAATAAACTTAAGATGATTATAATCTGCGAATACTAACAGCTTTAACACCCTGCAAATCATAGCAATCTCATACTTAATAGATCTGTCAGCAAGATTTCCAGTCATGATCTCAAGACGATTTAATTTACTCATCTTAGTGTAGGTTTTACCGACATCTTGTTGATAATGTTTTCGTCTTTGTATAGAATCAATGTCAATCTTATGTTACCAGTTATTTGATGTTTATAGCCCATGTATGTTAAGGCTTCAAAATCAGGGTTTTGTACTGGTTAAGCTCTTTTCCAGGAACTCAGACTGGGGTGCAGCTGTCTAGCTATCGTTTTGCTCGTCCTGTATGTATCTATATAATGAGGTACTTTTCAAGCTGAAAGCTGTTATGTTAGCCGTTACAAAAAGATTTTTTCCTATGATAAGATATCCATGATTGGAAAAAGTGTCACAGTATCGAGGTATCTTTTTCATTATTGTTTTACACTTCCTCCTACAAATGGTATCATTTGGTTAAGAAACATTTGTTTTGGATACTATTTCTCATGATTTAATAGATAAATTGATGTTTTTCCCTCGTTAGTGGGAGTCGCCGCAAATAAAAATAATAAACTTCCATTATATTCCAAAGTGTTTTTTTGAATCTTGCACCATTATATYTGATTCAAAAACCATTTGATTTCTAAAAGATTTTGAGTTGTATAATRCAGATTAGTCAGATTAACAAATCCTACGACATATTCAAACCGATTTTCACGGTTTCTGTTGCTCATTGATAAACGAAAACGAAAAAGAAACAAAAAACAGTAGTTTTATTATCATTTCAGTATCATACATCATTCGTACCAAGTGTTATTCCATTACATTTAAAAAAAGATCCTATTTCATTCCTTTTGTTCTACTTAAATTGGAACAAAAGCTAGAATAAGAAATACATAGAATACAAGCACGTCAGCTAGACTCTATCTTCGTAAAATAAACCATCGCTTGGGGTCGATTTCAAAACTTTCTATGAACAAATATGGATGAAAGATYTCTTTTCCCATGTTCCTTTGGGCGCTTTTAAGATAAACGAGGGAGACTAGTGACGAACCAGAGTAAGATTAAAGGTTTAAGTCGCTTTTTGTGCTGACATGGTCGTAGCCGACTGGGGCAAGTTGTCTTGACTTGAAGCCGAAGTACATGACTCCTACTAGCGCCATAGCTGCAGCTACTGTCATGGCAACCAACGCCACGTGACTGATGTTTGACAGACCTAGAAAAAAGAAGACAGTGAAACAGCAATCAACCGTACACTTCTTCTTGATGCGTTTAAAGCTTTGCTTGAAGCATGAGAAATGCGCGTTAAGCCATATGGGATAAGCTCGTAGGTACAGGATTACCACATCAAGTTGAGCCTGTCCACATTCTACGCACATGCTCTTAAGAAGCCGACTTATTATAATCATAACATAAGTATCATTGCCTAACGTATCGTTCTAACATACCATGATTGAGTGTCTTTGTATTTTGTTTCTCGCTCTCATCAAACGATGGCTTGATTTTCTTGTGTSTCTTGCGTAACTTTGATGAATCTCGCATTTTATGTTGCTTACGTTGATCAAGTACAAATGGACCTCGGGTCACAGTCACTCCCTCCTTCACACTCACGGCGCGTTTAGTCTTATGCTTCTTGGTATGTAATATAGGATGTACTTTGATGGGCGATACCTTATGACCACCATTCTTGCAGTCAGCTTTACATCGAGAATTTTTATCACCGACTTCACAAACTCTCACGTGACAATGGACAAAGACAAAGGGATGATCGCCTAAGAACTTGAAAGCCTCAACACTGAACCKTTGTTTKGTGTGAGACGGGGAAGAATGCATACGTACGGTTTTGTCAACGGGACACCTTAACAAAGAATAAAAGTAAAATTGTTGTAAACTAATTCCGTTATCCATCTGTCCCTGACGATCCTCATACACGAATTCATTCACACATTTGTACATTCACTTAGTAAACCGTAAAGCATGAACAAATCATTGAGTCGACTCGTCAAAGTACAGTGAACGTAAAGCGTAATGTGTGCCTTGAAGTGTCAATACTTAGCTCATCGTCCTTGAAAATGGGTGTGGAAAATCATTCTTCCACTTTCATTTTTTGAATAATTCACATCCATCTATTTGCTTAATTATTCACCCATTTATTACTTATTATGTTCTTATTCCGTTTGTTAACCAGTTACCTATCGTTAGGAAGACCATAACCTTTCTAACTTGCAATTTAAGTGATTTTTTTTCCGTTCCAGTTACACCGTGATAATAACTCACCCGTTATTGATGAACGTGTGTCTCAGATATCGGGACTTCTCATGGTCTCGTGTCGGTGTTGAGCAACACTTGTCTGCAAAAATCTTCAGATCTTTTTCTTTGGTCACCAGGGAAACCTATAAAAATCAATAATAATAACGATCTGATCTGTGTAACTCTGAAGAACAGTGTATTCAACCTCTCGGCCATGTGATATATATACTAGCCTGCGTCACATCCGGACAAACTTTCTGTTAACAGAAAGTTTGTCCGGATGTGACGCAGGCTATATATATACTTACCTCAAAGTAAAGGCGTTGCCTGAGGTGAACAGAGACRGGAAAGTCATCCCAAGTGTAAACTGACCCAGACGACCTTCCGCCATATCCCGTGCCTTTGTAGAAATCGAATTTGATCTGGTATTGACCTCTGCCTTTAACTCTGATGTAGACTTTTTTACTGTAAGGACGCATCCCAACAGCATGGACAATCTCTTTATTGTGGAAATAACAGCAAAATGGAACCTGTACCTCCCCAGGAAGGACACGCCCTATCTTGTTACTGGACCGATCTGGCTCTTCGGATACCTAATGGTTTAAAGTGTGATTATCATCAGGAAACTTTTCATGACGTAAGAAGTCATGTTTGGGGTCATTTATGTAGTGATCGATTCTACTCTACAAAAAGTAAATGTGTTGATCCCATTACCTTGTTGCTGTATACGATATAATTTTTGACTTGTCGWGAGGTGGTACCACATCCAGTAAGCGAGGTTTCCAGGATGTAATGGGTCTTATTRTGGTTGGCCTTACAGGTAGGGTCATTCAATCGTAAGTGCTCGTGGTGCAGGTTATGAATAATGTTCTTTGGGATCACAATTTTCATATCTTTGACTCCGCAGGTTAGCTTCAAACCCTCGGCTGAAACAAACGGAAAAGACTTTTAAAAAATGAACTCCTCGTAATAGTTAGTAGATGTTACGTCACAAGAAATGACGTCAAATCTAACAACATATGTAATGATGTCAAACACTAGCCGTCTCCGGCTGATCATAGTTACTGCTAACTATGGGCTGATTCAACAAGGACGTTTTTCGTGGCTGGGATAAAGTACCTCGGCCGCACTTTTCCCATGTGCTGTCTACCTTAATGGCCTCCTACAGGCAGTATTGCTAAACTGAACCCGCCAAACATTACCTTTACATCGCATGCCRTCTTCAGCAAGTGTGAGATGCGACGGGCATTCGCATCTGTGACTTCCAACAAGGTTGATACATTTATCACCGCATCCGCCATTATTGACTCTGCATTCGTTGATATCTATTGAAAAAAATGATTGACTACAGCATTTCCCTTGGTACAATCGAGAGAGAGAGACAGGCACGACGCAGCGCCTACAGAAAAATTAACAACAAACGATTTCCCTACCTGTGCATGAAATATTCATTTGATTGTTGGTCCAAGTGCCACCATCCACACATTCCTTCATCGGTGGACCGTGTACACGAAATCCATCTGGACAGGAGAAAGTACACATATCWCCTACGCGCATCTTTGACGTTGTRCATGTTGGTGGTATAACCGTGATTCCTTGATGGACGTGTAATGGCGGGCATACTGCATCTATKTAACAAAACAGTTTTATTTCACTATGAAAATGATTACACTACAGTTTGACAGTAAGAATGATAGCTAGAGATTAAGGACTGCTCTTTACTGTGATTAAAAGTGTTGTGATTACAACTCATTCCGAGTTAATCATTTGCGCAGCGACCTTAGCAGGGAGCTTAACTAGCACGCACAGGGAGCCCAACCCCCGACTATGATTCAATATTTTTACGTTTAAATGAGTTTTGATTAAGACGATGTATTGAATTATGTGAACGATGTAAGTGATTCTATTTTCACCGGTTWAAAGCAGTATTTTGAATGCGTCATCAAGTCATCGTTGACCTCAAGGTTTTACGACTTTTATTGCGCTTCAAACGCAAATTACTTCAAACGCAAATAAATATGAAGAATAAAAGTTAATATTGGCTTTTAATTCATAATAAGAATACAAAAGCTTGATTTTATTGCATAAACAAAGAAAAAGAAAAAAAAAAGAAAGAAATATTTTGCAACCCCAAGGTCTCGATCCTAGTAGGGCTAGATATAATTGCAGCGCCTTAACCGGCTGCGCCACTGGACCACGCTCATTTACATAATAATAGACCACTTGGCACTTTCACCGAATAGACTACCCCAATTTGACATTATACTTTCGATAGTTGMCTAGTTAGTGCAAGGGGTTATCCATCAGAGTCTAGGGGCCGGATAGCTTCTCCCTCACTGGCTTTTTAGTTAGCGCGAAGTTAGGACCAATTATCGGGATAGCATGGAAGAGCCGAAATCTCTAACCGGAATGTAAATCGATTCGACGCCTCAGCTTCACAGAATGTCTCGGGGGAATCGTCCCAACTTTTTACATTCTTTTTGTCATGGGTTCGAGTCTCACCAAGGAACMTTCTTTTTTTCAATTCATTTTCTAGCCTTAATGACTGATGTTATTTTTTGGTTTTTCTTTGCGTTTCTTTTTCTATTTCTTTTTCTATTTTTTCAAGTATTTGCGTATTTTTTATATCAAATAAATCACTCAACCGAATACTGATATCACGGCAGTACATCACTGAGAAATTCGGACACATTTCGTAAATGAAACATTGTTTTATCGATGAAAACGATTTSCAAAGTGCAATTCTAGGGTAACAGGCCCCTATAGGCTAAGACAACTAGTATGAAAAGCCTGACAGTCATTTCAACTGGAGTGGCCTGTATATCAAATATTCGAAATATTCAAAAACATGATTCATTCTTTTTGGAGATAGCAATACAGTACAGCTAACTTCGACGATAAAAGAGTATAAATTTGTAGACCCTACACTAAGTCTTACTTAATTTATGCATAGCTATGAGTCTAATTTTCGAAACTTATCTTAGCTATACGAGTTTTCAAAAAGTTATAATGCGTGAAAGTAACTCGCACAAAATTCCTCGTTTCAAGCTAACATGCTAATTTCAGATCTATTAACTTCTGCTCGGATCATGTATTTTTTTGGAAATCAATGTGGAAATCATAGGTCATTGTAAGGAGTTTCCTTTCGGCATTGCTCCAAAATTGTCAGCACAAAACTGACTGACTAGTTTTTTATCACAGAAGGGATTGTTTTAGATGTCTATTGCTTAAGAATTTCTAGAAGAAATAAGATGTTTCCCTAAGTACACAGCAGAACTTAATTTACTTGACGGCTCAAAAAGTGCTATCTTTTTCACTTACCATTATCAGGGTAGTTAGGGACGTTTTGGGCATTAACAGCAAGCAAGCAACCCGCACTTATCATCCAAAACGCGAGCATTTTTGGTGTTAAATACTCGAGAAAAAGAACAATTCCTTCCCTTGTCGAGTTCAACTTTGGTCAATAAACTTTAAAAGTTTTAAAAAGTAAACTTTGCATAAYTTAAAGGGAATTAGATTAGCATAATAAAAGACTTAACGTAGCAATTGATCTCTGGCTGGGGAGTTCGGAATACATTGAATTGCAAATAAGGAATTACTAACTCTGTTTGACTGCTTTCGCATCCATCAAACCTATTCAGCAAACAAACTTCCTACGCTTAAATTGCAAGGGAAAAATACCACTGGAGTTAAAGTGCAGGCTCGCTTCCGATGCGGCCAAATTACTTGCAACTTTCTAGTTTGCGCATTCAAGTGCTATCTGTGCAGATGCGGGGTGTTCAAAAGTGAGATTATTTCCTGATAAACTTTTTAGTAGAGAGAGAGTCATGAAAGCGAGGGATTACATTGTTTGTATGAAAGTGTGCAACTAAAATTCCAAAAATGTTTAATTTTATAGAAATCGTAATCAATTAAAAACAAAAACAGGATCATAGCAAAACAGTAATTAAGAAATCTTTAGTGCTAAAGCTTRCGATGATAGTTTTTTAAAAGGGAAAATTATAAGAAGGTTCATGCATTTTATAATCAAACGATATTCCTGAGATATCAAATCCATGTGACTAGGACACATTAAAAAATACCGCAACAACTTGTAGAGTTGTCGATATGTTGTATGTCGTTGCAGTTGATTGAAGTTTTTTGCTTCCACATTCTTTTAAAAACTCATGCGACAAATTTTTGGTTTCTCTTTCTCTAACTGAGCAAAAAAAAACTGAGCCAGCCTGAGAAGCTGTTTATTTGCACCTGAGCCGATATATTTACTTTCCATCTTCATACTACTTTTAATGGAATAATGATAATTCTTTTCAATGGAATGTTTTGTAAAATACTTGATAAATTATTATTGTATTGGCATATGCATGATGTATTGCTTTATCGACGGTGATATATCTTCRGGCCCCACCTACGCCCTTCATTTACTAATTCTTAACAAAACCCAGTAAAATATATGGCAACTATAGGAATATAAGTTTATTGTAAAGAAACTTTGTTTACATAGATAAAAGCATGAACTTAAAAAGAACTTGAACAATTGGGTTGGTGTTCAACTGCTTTTATGGAGTCAACACTAGATCAATTCCATTATGCAGTTAAAACGAGAAAATTGTACATCCTCTGATGCCCTTGTTGCAGTAAAATACACTGTAATATGATTCTAGAAATGGTAAAAAAGAACATGATCAGGATTTCATTGGTCTGTAGGTTGGCATGCCTCGTTTRGTAGCTTCCTTGAGTTTTCTTCCAATGTACAATACTCCAACTAGTGCCAGTATGGTACAGGCAATCAGGACTAATACTAGTGCATTGCTGGTAGTGGAACCTGAAACAGAAATGTTATTCACTACATGTCAGTKAATAGTCCTTTAGTTTGCTGATTTGCCGTTGTTATCTGATTTATTTTTGTCATCTTTTCTTTTTGCTCGTTTACTGTTGTTTAATTGTATATAGTCTTTGTTTATGTACTTTTCTGTTTTCCATTTTTTATTCGTTCGAGTTCCAGTTATCTTCGCTACATCATAGGTAGCCGATAAGCGCGTTTTCCCGACGATTATAAATACTGGAGGTGTTAAAGGAACTCCTACATAAAACTTACCAACACTTGCTTTTTCGTCCCTAGCACCGTTGCTGTCTTTGTCCAATTTTTCTTCCAAGTCGGCAGCTTTCTCATCGTTTGACTGCTCAACACCAGGCTCCTTCTCGTCGTTTCGGGCCACTTCCGGTTCATCTTCTATTAATGAAACAGGCCCCTTGGACAAAAGGTACTTATGTTCCTTTTCTTTCTTTACTGGGCTCTTTTCGATAGCTCTTGTGTGCCTGACAGGCGAATTCCGCTTGTCTAGTTTGAGATCTGACTGCGCATGCGTTGAGTCGCTATGTTGATGGTTGGGACCCGCGTTCAAAGGTTTTCCTCGCTTCGAGCCTTGGATACAACCTTGGGCACAACGTGAATTAGGATCATCAGCCTTACAGACTATAACACTACAGTGAAGGTACACGAAAGGAAATTTGCCAATGAATTGAAAGGCTGCCACACTAAAACGTTGCCTGTGAGGGGAGGGGGATGGTTCTGCTTGAGTGGTGGAATCAGCAATGCATCTGACAACAAAATAGAACAAAAGTGACATTCAAAAGAAAAAGAAAAAAATTGAACAGAAAAGTAAATGAATGAACGAATGAGAAAAAATGAATAAAAGAAAGAGATGACAAACAACAAGTRGGTCCTCTCCTTCATCAAAATTCAATATAAAAACAAAAATACTCCATACCCTTCACGAATAAGCGTGTGTCTAACTCTTCTCGCCTTGTCGTGGTCACGAGTTGGAGTCGCGAAGCATTGGTCAGCGAACACAGCAAGATTTTGATCAATGGAATCAATAGAGACKTCAAAATAAAGTCTCTCTCTCAAATACACTGATACAGGGAAGTCATCCCATGTGTATGTATTTTTGTAGTCTTTACCGTGGTAGAAGTCCATACTTAGCTTAAATTTACCAAATCTGAAAGTAGAAAAATTGATAAAATGAGTTGTACACCAATCAAGCTCTGTCTGGTCTGCATAGACGTGAATTAAARCATCGARATAACCAACCAAAAGTTCGATATTTKKATTCAATATAGAATTAGTGACTGTAAAGAATAATGTGACGTACCCTTTCTCTTTCAGTACCAGTTCTCTTACGAACGGTTTGTAACCAACAGCACCAAYAATGGCATTGTCCAGATAATAACAACAAAAAGGGATRTTGAACTCATTTTTGCCAATACGAGTAATAACACCKTGACGCCGCGCCGTGTGYCTTTCTGTAAYTCTATTACTGTACGCCAGGAAGTTTCTCTTGTGACGCCGCGTKGTGCCACACCCATTCAGCGCCGTCTTAAAGATGTAATGTGTCTTGTTCTCACGCGCATGGCAGCTTGGGTCACGAAGCTGGACATAATCACCTTGTATGTTGTTTAAAGCGTACTTGGGGATGATGATCTCAATGTCATGCGCAGAACAGTTTAACACCAAACCCACAGCTGGAAAGAAATCGATTTTTCACTCAGAAATAAGCTAGTGTCATTAAGTTGATATGCCAGACATACCTCGACATGTTTTTCCATCTCTGTCCATTATAAGTGGAGCAGGGCATTCACAATGATAACTTCCTTCAGTGTTGTGACAGGTGTGACTACAACCACCATTCCTGACCTTGCACTCGTCGACATCTGACAAAATAAAAAAAAATTATAGTAACTGCAATGGTCACTTTATAGCAGGACATTTTTGAATGTCTTACACACAACCTTGSTCAAACTTTACCATTATCTTACCTATACATATCAGAGTTTCTACTTACCTTTGCAGGAAATCTCTCTATGTCCAATAAACCACGCCCCATCATCTTGACACATGGTCATTGGTGGACCAGCAACGCGGAAACCCTCGCTACAGTGAAAATTACACGTGGTACCACTAGGTTGAGGTCCCTGTCGACAGGTTGGAGGGTCGACTACGATATTCCCCTTTAAATGAAGTGCTGGGCAGCTTTTCTCTTCTATAGAATAACATCATTTCATGTTATTTCATTATYATTTCATCTTCGGAGTATTTCTAGTGATTCGCGCGCTCTCATTGCCTTCTAGGACACATCTAACATTGCAAAATTGAAATGCCAATAGATCAGTCTATCTTGATATGCATCTCAAAACATTTCAGTCCGGAATTTTTGTATCTTTCAATAAATGTCGCAGCAGTTTTGAGGAGAAATGATAAAATTGCGATGATGTTTGAGCACAAGAAATTATTATGCAAAAGTTTGTTTGCTTTTTATCGAAACATTTAATAATGGCGGCTTTTTGAGCTACCCTAAAGACACTATGAAGTAAAACCACTAGTTTTCGTCTCCTTCCCGCGTACCTTCAAATTAACTGTTATTATAAAACACCTTTAGCGTGAGTTTTAGGAATCAATTTTAGAAAATATAACTAATTTTCGTGTAATACTGTAATAGCAAAAAATCTTCTACTCTATTCAGGAGAACTATGTCCTGTACTTGTAAACATTTTGTCGAAAATCAAGTTTCGGTATACGTTTACTGTAAATAGTCACTAATAAATGTTTCACAACAAAGTAACTGACAAAATGTAAACTTTTGGAGACTACAATTGAGATTTTGTGTATATGATTTTACCTCCTCCATCGCCATAGTCATTCTCGAGTCGACTTTCTCTGCTTTGATGGATTTTTGCACTGGAAAAGGCCACCAGTATTGTGAAAAACACTAGATTTTGCATCTTGTTCAGATGCATTAAGTATTTCTGGCCTGGCGTTGGGTCTCGTATATTGCACTGGAGTGAAATCTAGTTATTACCATAACAAAACACCCACGACTATCGGGACAGCATTCCATCATATCAAGGACTCATAAGCAAACAGCTTTGATCTCTTTTAAAATGGACAATGTCAATAGTTTAAAATTGAGAAAAAATTCCACAGTATCCATGTACGGCGACTAGTGAAGTGGAGCGTATAAGAGATAGACATTTCCCTTTCCTGGTATACCGATTTGATAAAAAGGATTTGTACCCGATGCTAGCACACTCACCACACACGTTCGTACCCTTGCCTTAGGCGAGCTTCTGGACAACTTGAAATTTTTTATTTTGTTTTTATTCTCAAATTGGTATATATCCCTTATGAAGAATGTTTGCAAATTAATTAAACTTGCAAGTTAAAATATTGAACCTTACGCAGTTATATCCCCAAAGAATGTCTKTATCGTACAGATTCTACTTTCTCGTACCATGCCTAACCCTGTGTCTATGGGTTCCTTACACTCCCGTCTATGACCCCCTTCGCAGCTGTATTTTACAAGGCTGTRGGCTTGGGAAAGTTTCAAATAGCGAATGTGACGTCACTTAGTGTGGAAAACAAGGTACTATCTATCAATTTTTCCCGCGAGGCCACCTTAGAACCGAATGCAGATTACATTTGTATGAATAAAAGGACAAGAACGCTTATAAATTATATAAAAAACCTTCTATTTTCATGACCTTAGCTACAAACTTCATAAAAAATTTACAATGGTGTAGATATTACCATAGGTCTAACTATGATATCACAGATCTTAGATCTTGCTAGCTGTGAATTTCCTGCCAGTGGGTCTTCTCTAAACTTCAATAGGTAGAGAGGTAAATSTCTATAAATACAAATTGAACAGCCTTGTCCCCATGCTYTATAGCTTTACWATTCAGAGCGTAGGCTGGGTAGGAGGTGAGCAAGTGATCGCAATGCTACATGGGATAGTTAAACATAACGTCTTGTCGAGCCAACTCTAACAACATAGGATCGTCGAAGAACTTATTGATGCTGACATCTTCACTAAGACCCTGAAACAAACGAGAAGAATTAGAAACAAACAAACAGAAAACGTTGAACTAAATATACTTCAGTATGATATTTAGATAAACGATTGAATGCTCACATCTATCCATTCATTTGTTTATTCATCCATTTCACCATCCCTATATTGATTTCTTTCATTCATACGTTAGTGTTATTCCAGTCCAGAATCCATATAACCGGGGTGGTCTATTAGTTCACAACTACGTGTCTCTACATACCTTTCGTCGACGAGTTTTTATCATGAACTCTCTTGCAAGATGAGTGGCGGGTTGAGGTTCGAGGGGACGAATGATTATACTCTTGTCTAGTGGATCACCTGGAACAATCTGTCAAACAAGTGATTGTCAATATTGTTTTTCCTTGTTTTTTTCGATATTTTCTTTGTTTATTGAATAACACTCAGTAGTGCAATCATATAATGTTGTTAATAGTTATTTTTAGCTCGGTTGTCAGTCTCAGTTGCTTCGTCCCGTTTCACAACGTCAAGTCCATAACACAAGTTTTGTATTGTGACGAATTGGCATTTTATCTACCATTATTTTCTAACTTTTGAATAAATTTCTATTTGAATGATGAACTAATATCCAACCTGCCAGTGATGAAAGACAGACATACAGAAGGCCTGCCCTTGAGTGTGAGTTCTAAGGTCCGTCTCGAAGCCAAATGAATCGATTGCTGGAATAAACGCTTTGATTGTGTACAATGGAGAGCCTGGAACGGGTGCATCTTGTGTKACGTGGCCTCTATTATCMAATCAAACAGATAGTTTMATATTAAGGCCATTAAGAGATTATTACTGTCATGTGACTGACCTTCTATGTGCAAGTACAGTGTAAACAGACGATACGCAGTCAGCTGGGGCCTGGACCTCAACGAAGAAGTATGGTTCCATCAAACGAGGTGTGGCCTGGAAATGAGCATATTGTCAATCACCACTRACATTTCCATGACTACCACCATTAGATACTATCATACTAAATGTAACATCACACTATTGGATGACCATACACCTTTATCATAATGGCGGCAATCGTGTTTTTCCAAAATAAGATAGATATGAATATTTTGTCACTGTAACATCAAAGAACTATCAGAAATAAACGTTTTTGGAAAGTTTTAGAACTCTGCACAAAATAGGGAAAAAGTTACGGTGAAATAAAAATACAAAGAAATGTATGTAATTTTCCACCAATGGCTGTCTGTCTATTTGTTTCTGAATATGAAATATGTGAACTACCAAAAATAAACATTTTTGGAAAGTTTTACAGCCCTGGATAAAATGCGAACAAAGTTATGGCGAAATGAAAATACAAAGAAATGTATGTAATTTTCAGCCAAGGCCTTTATAGCCTCGTTCTGGTGTTATGATATATTTTAAATCCTTATAACTTCACCAGATTTTAATATTTTCATTTCAAACTTTTACATGTTGTTATTAGCACAGGTTCCTATAAGCTGTTAGTTTACTTTGACTAAAATTCTAAATTTTAAAAATTTATGTTAATTAGATGGCGGCCATTATGGTAAAGGTGTATGACACGATAATCATTAAGATAACAAAAACCATCATCATTGCCCTCTCATCCTCACCATAAGGAAAGCAGAGTACGCCACTCTACGAGCAGTAGGAATGATTTGTCCACCACCACGATGAATAGGTTCACCAGCAATAACAGCATCAAGAATTTTGAAYTTAACATTGCGAATAGCTGGAATAKAAAACAACAATTAGGTTAGTTTGACAAGTTGCATAGTTAGTGTCACTTATAACCATTTTATTTTCATAAGTAAAGTAAAATGAAAAAATAAATGGATGAATAATCCAATGAAAGAACAAATAGAAAACTGAGAAAAAAAACAAGAAAAAACACTCACGCTCATCACAAAGCGGTCCTTCTCTGGTTGACCACTGAAAACCTTGAATAATAGAATCCTTGACAGTGTTCAGCAGACTCTTGTCCACCTAGTTACAAAAATATGAACAATGTGTTACCAATACACCAAGCCACATGATAGAATCCATAATTACCTCTGAAGGTAGTGTATCATCTACTAAGATATTAGGTCCTGTGTTTTCTGGTCCGAATGCCCAGATTGAACGAGCAGCCAGCAAATCCCAGTCATATTTAGTTTGAAAGAATTCACCTAGCTTTTTCCTGAAAACAAAAATGTTTACATTTTAATTGACAATATGTTGGTTGACTTACTCATAAAGTGGCTGGTGTTGGTTTTACACTTACTTATTCCATGTGATTAAAACTTTTTCATTTTCAATATCTTCAGCCAAACCTTTCTCTAAAGGTTCTGCAATCATTGTGACTTTATTCCTGAGATAATAAGAAACTATTACTCTTTTCTATGTACTAGACAGATACCAGGACCAATTTTCTTACTTTTTGTTAGGAGTTTCAGCAAAACACTTAAGTGAAGAAGTTTCTACAACTGTTTCACAGAAAGCAACTACAGGGTCGGCAACTTTGATATCTGTGGTAGTAATAAAATAGATAATGTAACTTCATGATCTAGTGCTTATGTATATGTACAGTAGAATGCAATTTTAGAATTAGACAAGTTTACAGTTAGAATTTACCTATTTCAGAATATAGCTTGCGTAGATCATGCATAACACTGTCAAGGTAGAGTTCTCCAGTGCCTAAAATAACATGCTCACCAGATTCTTCAACCTTGAAATAAAAATATAATGTACCACATGAATACGAACAATTGACCTCAAATTAGACGATTTTAATAGCACAATGTTGCATTGTCTTAAGGCCATAAAAGAACTTTCATTAAAGTGCACATGACACCTTTTAGAAAAACACTTTTATCCGAAAGTTTACACGCTGCCAACTACTTCTGCGAAAAAAGAAATAGATTTTGAATTGTATTTTCTGAGTTATAGACATTTGAAAATTGAAAATGCAAATGAAGTGACGTCAACTAAGGAATTGATCCAGTCTTTTTACATTGTTTGCGCTATGCTGTTCTTGGTTGAAGAGCACAAATCATCAATCATAGTAATAATTGAGNAATTAGACAATTTTAATAGCACAATGTTGCATTGTCTTAAGGCCATAAAAGAACTTTCATTAATGTAAAATATTTAGAAAATTAAAATATAGACCATGGTATCGCTGACTACACTGACCTTTGTTGTTAAAATTGGGTAACTTTTGTTGACTTTCCTTAAGCCATCCAACATCTTGGGGAGTTCTGAAGGGTTGTGAGGTTCAACAGCAATCTTGATTGTTGAACAAGTGTTGAACTTAAGAGGACGGAAGATGTATGCCTGAAATGATAGGAAGGCATTTTTTTTTTGAGTAATGAGGTTATGTTTGTTGTGGAGATGCAACAACAAAATGTTCTCTCTGATAACAAMGAAACATCTACGTAAACATGTAACAAAACCTATAAAATGTATGAAAAGATTATTTCACCTCTTCACTGTCAGCTACTGATGTRATGGTAGATGTTTTGACAATAGACTGGTCGATTCCTTCAATAAGAACCCAGTTCCCAGCTGGAATACGATTCACCTCTATGTTGTACCTATCAATTTAAACACGGTAGTTATCTTATAGTGAAACAAAATGAATATTAATGGCACCACATAAAAAGTTTGTAGGTTTCAAACGATTAATTACCTTGCTTCAGAAATCCATAACCTTCCAACCTAAAAATGAAACAAAAATTGTTTAATTACAAACTTAACAACATATGATACTTAAAGACCCTACCAAACCAACTCTAGAATCCTCTTCATCTTCCATTGTGTAGTTTTCACCAAGAACTCGCACTTGCTGGCCAGCATACACTGCAGGGAAGGATTTAATTAGCTCTTAATACTGCTGACTTCTTATTGTTAATAAGTTTATTTATATTTCAAATTCATACAAAGTTTGCCTCCTTCCTTCATGTAATAAAAAGGTTCATTGTTAATAAAACCTAACATTGCATCATTTATGCTGTAATACATACATGTTCCACTCATTACACGTCCAAACACATGGAATGCTGTGGCATCATTAGATGGATATTGTTTAGTGGTATGAACCATCAATGTACCCTGTAAACAAGAACAATAATTTAGTATCAAGACTGGTGTTTTAACAAGTAGAAAATAAATGAATTTATATTTTTTGATAGTCTGTAAACACACTCATTGGAGACTGATTCAAAACTCTCAGAATGTGGCTTAATTTAAGGGATATACATGTTGAGTACATTGTATATGAGAACCTATGTGTATAATATGGCGTCATCCCCTAGATAGCAAAATACTCACATCTGCATTGCACTCATACATAGAATCAACAATGTCTGAGTCAAGAGGACCAGTATAATTGTACCCAACCTGAAAGATATTGCATAAAGGTTTTACACTAACAAGAATCAAGTGTCATAGGTTACACTGTACTTTTAAAATTAACTACAGAAGTAGAAAACATAAAGCTGTGCCCACAGTTAGTCTTGTGGATGAAAGAAAACAATTTCAGTTGTATATGTCTAAATATGAATCTGGGAAAAACTCTTCCAAAACTCTTACCACATCATACAACAAATTGAATATCTACAGTCAAAGGTGACAGACAAACATCAATGACATCATTATCACAATACCTTTGTTTTGGCATTTCCTCTTGGAGAAGGAATATGACTGACACACACATCCACAAAACCTGAAAACAAACAACATCAACATAACTTATACTACGGTTAAATATTTTGCTTATATTATTAAAGTATTAATAAATTATCAATAACTTACATACATATACTTAATAACAATATACCTGTAAAATCTCCAAAAAACCTTTGGCAGACAAGTTTTAACAGTGGTCTAATATTTGACTGCATCTCTTTCTTAGTCACTCGAATACCTGAAGAAAGAAAACATGAATACTTGATTGTACACATGAGTACAATGCACACATTTTAGTTCAAGAAATATTAAGTATAGTATTAATACAGTCTTACCTAGCTCATCCAATACATCAGGAAGAGTAGTATCGACATCCCCAACCACCTAATGTATCAAAATAAATTAGATTTAATAATGTAATAATGAAAAAAGAATCAAGAGAATCATGCAATAATTTACCTGTCCAAATATTTTGTACAGAGGCTCTAAAATGAACTCAACGAAGCTTCTCTGTGAAGTACTTAATGGTGCTTTTCGTGTAAATTTCCTCCTGTAAGAAAATGCCACAGTAAAAGAACTGTCAGATTGTACAAAAAGCTGGATGTTTTTGTGATAGAAGTCTAAAACAATCCAACTTACGTCTTTGAGTTAAAGTACATATCACCCCAGAGTCTATTGGCAAAGTCTTTGGGGTTGATTCCTCCACCTTAAATCAATCAAAAATTTAATAGATGTACAGAACTCAATCATACCGTCATAACTAGTCTGTCAATCTTGATAGCAATTCATGTAGTAAGTCCAAAACAAACAAACAACCAGGAAAAATATATCTATTATTTGCATTCATATGGCAATAATTAAGCTTTCAGTTTTTGTATGCACTTACATGTATGTACTTACCAAAACTATCCACATAAAGATTTGCAAACGAGAAGAGTGTGAAGCAAAATCCATATGAAGAACTTGCAAAGCACACATTACCAAGAAGTGGAGAAACTATAAGATTATTATCATCTTCTGCAAAAATGCTGTAGAAAATAAAAACATGACAAAACAATTTGGTTTGCATGTAGTTGGCATAGTCATATAAAGAAAACATTGGTTTCTAACCTTAATAAACTATTGACTTCATCTACAATATGCTTCAGTTTATAATAAGCATCTGTTGGAGGAAGCTTTAGTTCCAGCATAAGTCGATCAATCTACAAAAGAATATTGAGCAATTCATTGATTAGAAAATATGAAAATGTAACAACATTTTAGTCAATTTGGAACAACAAGCTAGAGTGCACAAGCTAGTACTKTTTTTTGTCTATGTGTTTTACCTTGTTTATACAAATTGTCACTGATAACTGTTCTTGGACGGCATGTTTTAGAAGTCTTTCAGTATTAAGCATAACCTGCATTGACAAGAACCATGTATTTAACAAAACAAAAAAAGAAAAAATACAATAATTTAAAATGCGAACTAAACAACAAAGAAGTATACATGGTTATGTGGTGGTTACTGTTCTGTCAAGTAACTCACCCCTTCTGAAGCATCAATGAAAATCATAACTCCATCACAAAGTCTGTATGATGCTGTTACTTCATCTGAAAAGTTCACATGACCTGAAACAAACCAAACCATCATCAATCCAAGATTACACTTCTTGATAAATAGTTTAGTTATTACATACCTGGAGTATCAGACACATTTACCAGGAATGACTTTCCTTTAGTGTCTGGTAGGACAAGAGAGACTGGAGTGCTTTTTATGCTCAGTCCCCTCTAAATGAATCAAACAGCTGTATTAATATTACATGTAATAATTACTTAAAGTTCTCTAAAGATTATATTTAACCTAATTCCAGAGACTACAATTTTATAGCCAGTCACTTACTTCTTGCTCTGTAAACAAGAAATCTGCATAACGAAGCTAAAAATATAAGGAACAAAATAAAATTAGGTTTAATTACAAGAAGATCAATATGACTTATATAACAAGAAAGAAAAGAGTTCTGCTGCTAACTATTTCAGTTTTGAAACAGAAASTTTTTGAAAYTCAAAGATTCATTTCACACCCAACRTGTCTCTCTAAGACCAGGCTCTTTTAATAATGTTGCAATTATTCAACTAATAGCACAATAGATACATAATAATTCAAAAGTAAAATTATAACATAAAGATCTTACATCTTTTCCTTCCTGTGGAACCAGTTCAGGATGTGTTTGCTCAAATAAACAATCTAAAAATGTTGTCTGGAAAGAAACCACATATCAGTCTTACTTTGAAAGATATTAATAATATTCTTGGTAATTCACTTGTTTACCTTTCCACTGTGTAAATGACCAGCTAGTGCAACATTTCGCACAAGATCAGGATTATCCATTAGATCAGCAAGGTACCTAATATCAATAATTATTAAATTATCATTTATATATCACTAATATAAGTAATAATGTGAATGTACATACTCAATATCATACGAAGTCAGTGGCAATTCTTGCTCAATCAATGAAAACTTCTTTTTTGCGACAGGTTTTATGATAGGCTCTGTAATAAGAATATTGAAATAAGACAGAGACAAGAACCACAAAGTCAAGTAGTAGGAAAGCTACATGTAATACTCTGAACTAACCTGTTAAGGGTTGAGTGTCCTCTTCTTGAACAACATTCTTAAAATCAAAAACATCTTATATTAAAGCATAATTGTTTTCATATAAATCTGGAACCCGCTTCCAATTTTAATTCAATCTAATTTTTAGTGTAATATACAGTTTACTCTAGTATGAGTCCATGAAATTCCATGAAAAATACAAGAAAATCTCAGTGCGGGCATTTTACTCTTTCATGGAATATCTGGATACTAGATATTAGATACTAGATGCCTATTTTATAGAGGCATGCATACCTCCGATATTACTTTTGGAAGTTGAGTGTATGTATTGAAGCCAAAAATTTAAAAGTGATGTTTTTTTCAAGAGCAAATTCATGTCATATCTGCCCATGAGAATTGCAAAGTCATTGGATACAGGTTTTATTTACCTCTACTTCTGGCCCAAACACTTCTTCTGCAGTTGGATAATATTTTTTGTCCTAGAAAAACATAGAATTTAACATTAATAAGAGTAAAAACTTACAAAATKACAAAGAGGTAGCAAAATAAATGTGTGCAAATAACATCGTGTTTATATTGCTGTTTTAATTTCTCTTTTTTTCACAAATAGAATAATATCAAACAAAATATGTTGTTTAGAACCTGACCTGACGTGATCTGAGTAGAATACATGACAGATCAATCCTACAATATGATGAAATGAAAACAGTCCATACCTCATGAAGAACAATTTGCATTCTTGGTTCATCATCCTGGTCCATCTGTTCATCTTCATATCCTTCCCCCTACAGTTAAACAACAATAACATTTTTTACAACTTATTGAGTATGTTACAACAAAGGTTGAACAACAGCTGAAAGCAGACTGAAACAAATTCATCGCAGCTTGATAAATTAAACTGCACAATGAGCTTTGCACACATGAAGACATAAATTCGTAGCTRGTTAACTGCAATAACTGGCCATTTTTAGGAAAAAGYACAACACWGGAAAYCCAACCACATCAACATAAAACTGATTTTCTCTTCGCAATCCTGTAAAAACTAGTCTGTCCTACAGTTAATTGTACATTTACATGAAATAACTTGAGACTTTCCATGTAAACAAAAAACACATCTTTAGAACTATAAGAAAGACATGCAAATGTTCCGGAACTTTAATATCATGCATGGTGCTAAGTCAGAGTCAAAAAATTCACTTTTCTAAAAARGCTAAGTTTTTGCTACGAAACTTTGACAAAAGMTTAAAAGCAAACAATAACATAAACACATATGGCAAGTCATGCCTATTTTGTATAAAGCTTCAAGTTGTCAATTCTACTCAACGTAAACTGTACGTTCTGGTTACTGAGTTCTCTAAACTATGSGCCGGTGAGGAAAAAGTGCATCGTTTATAATACTGACCAAAGCGTCATCCTCTTGTTCACGTTCTTCTTCCTCTGAATCACTTTCATCATCACTGTCCAACTCAGGACCAATGTAATTGCCGAATTCATCATAAAGATCGGCGTCCATTTTGRAAAACGTGCAAGGAAGAATGAAGCCGCGAGAGACTTGGGAGAGTACCACAGGAAGCCCAAATATAAGTCCCAGAATCCTCTKCTAGTTTATAAACAAGCTACGCAAGCTGGCTAGAAGGTCTTTTGCATTTTGTGGGTTTCCCTTATTTTCCTATCCTTTCAAATCGATATATGATAATTTGCCGTCAAATCATGAGTTAACTATGATCCATGACCACGTTGCAGTGTCTGGAATTGGGTGTTCGGTAAGGAAATATCAAAAAAATACCAGATGCGAAATTCAATGACGAAAGCTAACTTGTTTTGTCATATGATGTCTATAGTGTCTTGATGTAGAAGTCAAAAATCCTCGAACACATGTGGATACTAGTAACGGCAAGGCACTATACACAGATTATGAAATCGAACTCAAGGTAGGACTAGTTCTAGAATGATCGATCAAATGACGAATTTATTTTAGGAACATGTGGTTCAGGAAGATGGTGTTGTACAATCTGGAAATTACGTAATGGAACGCGCGCTCTGATTGGAAGGGAAGAATAAAGTGGAGAAAGCGCGCGAACATTTCAATTGACCTCGTCCAAGCAAACCAATATTTTCCATTAGTATCATAGAAAGGTGTATTCTTGTCTAGAATRTAATAGTTATTTTTTTAATTATTTCTTCTGCTTGGAATCTACCACTAAATGCTTTGTATTTTTTGTTGCTTTTCAGACAAACCACCCCAGTTTTCCTTTGTTGTATTCGAAAACAAGAAGAAGATACTCTGAATTTGTGTGGTTGAGGGGCAAACTTGGATTACCAGATACTTTGGTCCAGTAAGTTTGGAATATAAAATAGGACGTTTTGATTTTATAACTATTAGTTTTTTGCATTTATCAGAGGTGCACCAAAGCTTCCAAAAAAGCAGATTGTTGGTCGCTTCAAAGAAAGTTTCTTGCAAGATAGAAATGATGGTCTACAAAGATTTTTAGTGAGGTACTTGTTTGACATTGCTTTTGGGACATTATTTATTATGAATTATGAAAGTATCATCTCTTACATTGGTAATATCATAATGAATTGGTTGTAATTGACAGGTTACTTTCAGTGAACGCCTTCATACAGGAACCTGCTCTACAGTTGTTCCTTCAAACAAATCTAAGTGTAGCAGAAATGGAGCATTATTTGAGAACCAGAACTCAAGGAGCTATAAAATCTCTCATTTTGAGACTACATAACAAAACAACCAATCCRAAATGTCCTAAAACTGTACCAAAAAAGGCAAGCAAAGACTATCCACTTACCAAAAGGTATATTGATCCTTGCAAACACACAAAATGCAATCAACTTTGAATCCTGTAATCAATAATCTTATCATATAATTGTATGTGCAATGATTAAAGTTTCAACCTTTACCATGGTGACCCTATCTACTATTTACTATTGCAGAAGTCTTAATAAGACGTTTATTGGAGGGCGTGGCTGGTCTTCACAGTATGGTGATGGTTATTACTCATTTCCACATAAGGGTGCATCAACCAGTTCATCTATCAGCCAGGGTAAAATATTACACACACAATTGTCATAATTAGTATGAGAGCTACTGTTTTTCATTGTTTAAAGAGTTGCCAATAAACTCTGAGCTTGCATTAAGATCTCAAAAAGACTTGTTTTAAATTTAGGCAAAGTCCCTTATAGGGAATGCTCAGTTAACTAATTAACCAATCAGTAAATATACTTTCAGTTGTGTAGTTTTAAAAGCGTTCTAATATACTTTTTGGATTATTGTAGATATACGTCAGCGTAGTTCAACCGTGACTGCGGGTGCACTTCCTGGTGGACGTTTGACATTACCATCAATTCCAGGAAGCATAGAAGATATACTTCCACTTAGTGGTAGTGAATTCACTGCTTCAGATGACGAACTATTAGAAGTTGACAACATACATCCTTTGAGTAGGAGTTGGCATGGTAGTGAACATGACACTATTGACTTTATTCTTGATGACTATGAAATTATCCCTTTCGACATTGTTACAGAAATTGAGGAGAAACACCAAGCAGAGTTAAAAGAACTTGGTTATTTGGATCTGACAACTACATCAGATGAGCTGAACAGTTTTGGCAATGAGCAAGGCTGCTTTGACTACTAAAATCCTTTATTTGCACAAAATTAAATAATTTGTGAATAATTTTTTAAAGTGAACAGTGCTTTTTTTATGAAATATATATMCTAAAAGTCAGGCAATGTTTCATTTGAGTGTGCAAATGAAAGTTTTAGGGATTTACAGTTGTATTGCATCGTCTAAAAAAAACAATTCCAGCCAAAAAATATTGATCATTACCATGGTAACACAGATCTAGCTGAAAATGACGTTTTTTAAGAAACTTTCATCTTATTTCTGTATATGAAAAAAACTTGAGATGTATTGTCAGAAAACAATAGCAGAAATCCTTCATAAACATATGAAAATGTTCTAAGGATTTTCAAATGCCATATACAAAATATGTACATCAACTTTGGGCTTATACAATATAATTAAAGAAAGAGAAAAAAATAAAACACAACCATGAACGTTATGTTTGAGAAATGTAGGAAATACAGCCCCACAAACAGCAATGGGAAAACCGATTCAATAATGATAAAACAAGYCTTACAATATAYTCTACATACAATGTAGTWCTGAACTAAGAAAACGTAATCTSTGTACAGTTCACCAAATCAAGGTRCATACTTTTCACAAACAAATGGTCTGGGTAATAATTGACAATCGGTGTCAAACCACTGGCCATTATCAGCCATGGCAACACAGCCTGTTCCTGGTTTGTAAGGTACCATGTTTAGGAAGTYGGCAGGTGTCCCATCACTCCATTGATATGTTTTTGTTGCGTTGTTTCCCTTCAGTCCAATCCAAGGCTCTGCTGGAGGCTTGACAAATGCTAACAAAAGGAAAAGATATACATATCGTAAAATAACTGAAAATGAAATCTCCACTAGGTATATAGTATAGTTTCCGTGAGCTTTGCTAACCATACCTACATAAATGCTCATGTCTGATTGGCTGAATGACTGCGGATTTTCTTTAGTGCGATTGTGATTAGTACCAATCTATCCAGGTGCGTTGCGCGTCAATACGTTTTTGTCGCCATTAAAGACTCGCCATCCTGGGGAACCCAGGGATAATCTTCTGTCGTTCGCCCCTGGGTTCCCGAGGATGAAGACTCGCATTTTCTGTACATGTGATATTCTAAGGAAATTCCACCTTAATTCTCGAAAATTTTATTTTTTATTGATGAAAATAGAGTACAAACATTAAACGTGTGCAGCACTTT